AGGGCTTTTCTGTAGATGCTGATCCTCCTGTGTTACTTAGGCAACTGCAAGAGTCGTCTGTCCACTACAGCTGCCACTCATTTTATCTGATACAGTACATGAGGACGTGAAATCAAAAGGAAGAGACAACTTGTACTTTTCGCAAAATTTCGTGGGCTGTGGAGACCGAGGACTTGGGAAACCACTTCCAAGTAGGTAAATTGCAAGAGCATTCGACATGATGCGCCTGAGGAGCACAACTTCAATTCTCTTAATGCTCTAAGAATTTATAACAGCCAAAAGTAATGGCTTCCTTGTGAATGTTATTTTTACCTGTTAACCTCCTGCTCCCCCTTCTCCTCAACACTCTTGTCATCGTCTTCCTTCTCTAATCCTTCCAATAAAACTGCCACTCCGACTCTTTACTCTAGGCCTGACTTTAATTGGACCTACCATACTCCTCCACTTCACTCGGAGACCTCTGGCAAGTGGAGTGAGAGAGAAAAGAAGGTGAGGGGTACCCAGACAGATTAGGAGAAAGGTCAGAATCGACTGGAGATTAGTGCACCCGAGTTCTAAATAAAGATGGGGATATTGAGTGGAAATATTCTCGGCAATGTCTTTACTGTCGGTTCAGTTAGAAATTTCCCAATCAATAGTGAGTTTGAAAATGTAATTCACAAACGCATCCGGCTAAATCCGCTTGCGCCTCACGGTTTCGGTATTGGTTTTATCTTCCCTCGGTATCCAAGACTGCTGTGGATGCTACATCGTTCGTAATGGTTTGGCAAAAGTGCGAGTCGCTGTTCGATGCATGATCATTCTTACCTGAATCGGTTCTCAAAGACGATGCCCACGAAATGCGAAAATTCTTTATCCACTGAAAATGTCAAACGTCTACATTTGAAAAACAGACATTTGACGCCTGTCTACCTGCTTTTCAACGTAATGGCGTCAAATGGTTTGGGTGTATTTTAAAAGGGAGGTAGGATGTCGTTGTTTAAGCGATGTCTGGAAAAAGTGGGGGATATTTCATGGGCGACAAAAATATTTTTGAAGCAAATGAGGTAGAACCTTGCGTGTATGTAGCCAAGTTATTTGATTTTGAACGTTATATTACGTAAGGCATTATAACTTTGGGTGTGTATGCCCGAAATACGGCCATCTCAATCATTCAGTGGTTTGTTGCAGATGGAGTGGGACTTATTATGGTCAGTGATCGGGTGGCCTTTCAAATGTAGAATACCCTCAGTCAAGCATCAGCCCTTAGAAAATATTTCAACTTGTCGCCCTTTTCATCAAAAGGAGAAATTGCTTAATTTGGCAGTTGATGGGAATTGGTAAGACGCTATTTTAATGGGAGGGTAAAAACGAATTACGAGTAAAGAAGAGACAGCAGGACGTTTATCAAAGTGTCCTCTGTGCCTCCTTTATCAAGACACACAATTTGTGAATTCCAAACTGATAAAAAAGTTTTGACTCCAGAGCCACCTCCCCCTAACCTCTCCTTCCCGCCTAGCACTTCTTTTCCTATTTTCTGTCCCACCTCCTCCGCGTTGGAACAGAGGAACATAGTGGATGCATCACTGCCTCTTCCCTTCCTCTGCTCATCTTGCAGGTCCTTCCTCAGCTACCCAAATGGTGACGTAGTGTCTGTAAGACCCTATAATAATAATCCCCTTCCGGTATAACTTCCTTAAGTGTAGAGTGTGTCGTCGTGGCTAGACAAATCTTACTCGCTGAGGTTTAGGCGCAATGTAAGCTCGGCCTTTTGGAGGTTGAATCCACTGTCGTCGTAAAAGTGCTTGTTAATGGGACAGTAAGCGATTCTCACGACTGTCCGCATGACAGGCTCTTAACACTGTAGGTGAGGTGGATATCCTCGGCTGCCAAGACTTCCCTAACTAATATAGTTGTAAAACAAGCGCAATTCTGCGAGACTATTTGATTTGGGAGATTTTCCACATATTCATTTGCCTTATACTTGGTGTCGTATTTAGCCGGGCATCGGTGCTGGGGTCGGCGTGTTAATAGCAAATGGTTCACACTGGAAAGAGTGGTAGATGGTCGGAGCACAGAAGGACAAAATGGGTTTTATAGGTAAGTGCCCTATTTAATTGAACGCCATCGTCTAACTACATCCCTAATACCCGGAATATGGACAGAGTTGAGGGGCAAATCTTCTTTAGCAATAGCGACCATTCCGTAGTGTTCCTCTCTTCACAAATATTCACACCAAGAATAGACATCCTAGCGTTGCGAAAACCTGATTAGTCAGGAGAGGGGGTTTTTATAAAATCGGAGTAGATGTCAATTGGAACTTATCCTCTGCACAATAATGCCGTGCTATGTTGCTATTTTGTCAGTTTACCATTAAACATACAGGAGCCTTTCAAATTGGATGTAGGAGCACTGGCCAGGATGCCACGAAGAGCAACTATAATATGAGTCTATGAGATGGGCTCGAATAAGCATAGGAAGAGGTTGATGAGCGTTTGAATGCCTACTGTGACTGTTTTATCTAAGTTGGCCATCTCTTTGGCGTCTACTACAGATTCACACAATCAACCCTGGGGACTGTTGCGGTGATTGAGACCAAGAAATCTCAACAATGTTCCCGGATGGAACCACCCTACTTGTAGCGAAACCGCGTACAGCAGATTGATGGTGCCATAGAATCGACTCAATTAAAGTCAAGGTCATGTACCATCCCCGATGACTATCTACGTAGCAATATGGAGACGGAGGGATTCAAGTAATCCGGTTGCCTAACATTCAGCCTCTACGAAGATCGCGTAGAGCTCTTATTTACTGTACCATACTATACTGTCCGCGAAATTAAAGAGGGCAGAATCTGGTACAAAAGTTAAATGACATTAGCACACCTACTTTGTGATCACCGTCCCCATAATAGTATTAATTACTAGGAGATTGCCATAGTGCACAAAACCTATCTGAACAAATTACATATTTGCCCACTTTTCTTAAATTTACTTGAATACACCTTTGAGTCGAGAGGCAGTCATAGAACAAGAGAATTGTAATGGAATTGGCGTCACTCACCTCCAAGGCAGAAATGTGCGTAGAACAAGCGTAACCCTGACCACTGCACACCGTCCATAATACTGCCCAGACAGACTGCCCCTACCCAATAAGCCTACTCGTTCCAAGTTAGTAAAGGTGCAGGCGAAAAGGTAGACACTAAAACTATTATACTTGTGGCAGCGTCCGCTGACCTTAACTTTCAAGACTTGCATAGGCTTTTAAACACAAGTTGCGACCTCTGGTCCTGCGCCCAACGCCAAAAACCACCTCAGCTTTGAGGTGGCCTCCTTTAAAACCTATTCTCGGGCAGCGTAGGGGTTAATTTAGATCCAAACACCAAGTTGGTAGAATATTTTACTACTTTAGTTCGACAAGTCATCGGTCAGAAAGAACAGACACCAACTAGAAAGTTTTCCACCACCACCAATTCCTTCTATGCCTCTTTTACTAAGCAGTTAACTGGTCACACAAAAGAACGTCAATTTATGCGCTCAAATACACTCCACACCTACAACTACAACTGGGTGTGCAACCAGTTTTGCATCTAGCGCCATCCTTTTTT